GGTCTGAAGTATGGAGAGTACCAGACTCACAAGGTGAGCTCTGTCGTAACATCTACAACGCTGGCCAGAAGTATACAGGAAGTGATTTTATTTTTATTTCAGGCTTTACATTGTTTTCTGGAGTTACTGTTATAACAGTATGTAATAACACTGTTATATCATACTGTTATAAAATACATATAAAAAGAATTAGGTGTGCAGGTTTTCATGTGTTGTGGATTTTGTCCAAGCTACATAATAATAATAAATCCAACATAAAAGCTTAAATAAATATACCCACATATATAAGCACACTTATTTTAGCCTTTATATTTAATTGATGACAGCTTAAGATTGAATCAATGCTCTTGGTTAGAAATGCCTCAATGTATTTAGTTTTTTTTCTTTTTTTTCTTTTATACGACACAGCTTTGACATTTTCAATGAAGTTTTATAATTAAATATAAATCTATAAACCTCATTTTCAAAAGAGAGCTGTTTAAAAAAAAAAAAGTAACAAGTAATAAACAAATCTGACTCAGTCAGATAAGTTAATACTAGTTTGATTTAAAAAAGGGCAAATTGCAAAAGAGGATTTCTTTTTTTAATTCACCGACATTTAAATTGTCACTGTGGATAGGGTTGAATCCACCTGTAGAGTATTCCAAGTTGACAAGACAGAGTACAAAGATGCATTTTCCCCCCAAATGTTGATGTACATATGGAAAATTGAAGGACAGGAAGTTAGAGAGAGAAGTTTGTAGCTGAACTGTCTGAAGTAACAGATATGTGGATTGGTAAATAGGGATTAGGTTAATTCCAGTAGCTTACTGTTGGGGCGTATTGTGCAATTTTAGCACAAGATTATGAATATATTATTAACTGGAACAGGGAGTTTAGTTAAGTAATATGTCATTCTAATCAATGGAAAATCCAAGTAATTATCTTCACTTAAATTATTATAACTGATAATTTACTCACTTACCAGGTGTTATTAAACGTTTACCTTTGTGGCTGGACCAAAAATTCAAGCTGTCTTTGCCATTGATTTATAAGTCTAGCAGAGTTATGAATCATTAAGCACAAGGAAAATAATTGTCTTTGTATATTCAATTTGTTAACTCAAAGAATTTGGCATCCATGCTGATGATGACAATATGGAGACTTGTACAAGTTTATCCCTGTTTTTTTTGCTTCAGAACTGAGATTTTTTTTTTCAAACAAACCTTTCCACAGGAGGATGATCTCATCCAGCTGGCTGCTAAGCATCTGTACATCCAACATGGCTCCGACAATCGTCCTGAGAATGTCAAAGAGACCGTGAGGGACTGCATCAAGAACTCCCTTATTGAGGCCAAATCAGAGGCCAAGCTGGTTCAGATGATCCACACGGCTCACGCTCAGGTTGGGATCTTATGATTAGACAAAACAAACCATCAAAAATAACAAACAAAAAAAATGAGAAAATGTTTAATCTATCATTTCTGATTCAATCCAGAGTTCCTTCCTGAATAACAAACAAAAACCAGAGCTGGTGAAAGCAGAGATGGTGGACTATGCTAGGGATAAGTGGCCCATGTTCTTCTCCAGGTTCTATGAAGTTACCAAACTGTCAGGTAGGACAACCTTTGCTCTGCATGTTTAAAATATGAGCTTTAATAAGGATCCTGGTTTCCTTATTTCAATACAACCCCAATAAAAGTAGCCTTCACAGATAAGATGGTGCAATAAAATGTCCTACAAAGGTTATAGCGCTTTGAGAAGTTATAAAAATGTAAGCTTTTATGCTCTAATTATGTCCTTGCCTAGAGGGTGCATATTGTAGTTATTTTTCTCCTTTAAAAGTCTGTTAATAGGGACCAGTTAAAGTGAACATCAGTCTTGTTCCTTCTGCAGAGCACTGAGTGTCCCTTAGTTTATAGAGTTGAGAAAGTGGGCTTGACTTCAAAGTGAAAGTAATATCTTACAAGTTTAACTTCCTTAAGTCTAGCTTGTCATGTGACCTCTGTCTGTTGCTTTGAATTTAATGCTGTTCATGTTTCCAGCTTCTTTATTCTTACATGTTTTCATTCTCAACACATTTAGTTTTCTTGTGGAATGAAATCATCTTCTTGATAATGTAAACTTTCCATCCTTATAAATGACCTGCAATTATTCAGTATCCTGTTGTACCCGTTAAGACAACAGGGCTCAAATATATACATACACCCCCATTGGTGCTCTTTTCGTAAATTGGTTTTCGTTGTAGAAACAGCCACCAGTGGGCGCTAGCAAGGCCTCAGAAAAATTGGAATAAAGTACAGTGTTGAAAACATGTTAGTTAAAGTTTCTATGCTAAAACAAATGTAATAAGAATATAGATTTTAAAAAAAGTTTGTTAAGGGTGTCCTTGGCCAAAGATCAATGCTGTTTTGGGGGCAGCAACTTAAAAAAGTTTGGTAACTCCAGCCTTTGTATGAAGTGATTTTAAAAAACACATTTGGTAAACTGACATTAGGGGGGAAGAAAAAACCCTATTTAAAAAAAGCATTTGAGATTAACTTTGCATGTTTTTCAGATTGGATATTTTGCTAACTTAGTTATTTTATATATATATATATATATGTTTTTATCTTGCCTTATAAAAATGCTCGCTTTTGACCAATAAAAAAACATTGGGTCAGATAATTAAAACATGGCCATAACTTAATATTAAGGTGCATATAACTAAGCATCTATTCAATTCTGTTTTTTTATTTTTATGTATGGATAAGAGAAAAATTAGTATATGTTTGAAATATGGGAACCAAGCTGATTCTGAAAAATTCGCAGGCTGTAATTTCCTGGCATAAACCAGATTGATACCATATATAATACAAACCGATCTACACATATGGATCTGGGAAGGCTCCTGTAGAAAGTGTTTGCAAAAGTGAGGGACATTCAATACAATTCTTCAAGCTGATTGGGTATCTGCCTGCTATGTAGAGTTTTTAGCCAATCACAACAGCAGTAGCACTGCAAAAATGTAAATCTAAGTAAGTAATTTCGTCTTCTAATAAGTACATTTTTTCTTTAATCGAGCAGGTTGCCGATGTAATAGGACGACATTTTATTTACATTTAAAATAAGAATAAAACTGCAGTCTCTTATTTCAAATGCATAACATCTTATTATCTTATTTTAAGGGTGAATATAGTCATTCCATTGGCAGATCATCTTATTTTCCTATAAAAATTAAGGATAAATACAGTTATTTCAAGACATTTTTACTCATTTTCAGAATGTTTTTGCAGTGAGAAGCTTAATTTGGAGGGAATGTGAGGAACAGCTTCCCATACACATACTGCAAAAACAATCTAGAAATTAGTAAAAAATTTCTAAAATGAAGTGTATTTACCCTTAATTTCAGTAGGTAAATAAGATGATTTGCCAATGGAATGAGTATATTTACTCCTAAAGTAAGATAATTAGATATTATGCACCTAAAATAGGTGCAATAGTTTTTTCTTGTTTTAAATACAAATTATCTTGTTCTATTGGCAAAGTGTCTCACTTACCTGCTCAATTCAAGAAAAGCAGCTATTTTAAGCAAAAATTACTTAATTAGATTTCAATTTTTTGCAGTGCAAAGGTAGAAATCATGTCCTCTTGCCTGTTTTTCAAAAAGCAATAGAGTGCATTCCAGCTAAAACCTGTGGAGCCATGTTTGTTTTGCTTCAGCTTTCTTCCTCTGGTTGTTGCGTTGAGGTCATACACCTCACTATATTTCATTGGTCTAAAACATTTCTGTATTGAGACAAAGTTTTCTGCCGACTCCTGGCAAGAGTATTTTCAGAAGTTTGTGTTCTCACAAATCTCATGACAATTCATCTTGCACTGCAAATAATTGAAATTAAAATAAGTAACTTTTCTTAAAATACGTCCATTTTCTCTTGAATTGAGTAGGTAAGTGAGACACCTTGCCAATGGAACAAGACAATTTACCTTTTAAATAGGAAAAAAACAATTAAAATTGTCTTATTTCAAGTCCATTTGATCTAATTTTCATTCTATTCCATTGGCAAGTCATCTTATTTACCTACTAAAATTAAGGCTAAATACACTTATTTGAAGAAATGTTTACTTATTTCTAGATCGGTTTTGCAGTGTACTTGCTGGGTAAAGCCAGTCCCAGTCCAGACAGGATATGTAGTCTCACCAACATGTTCTAGTTCTGTATCCAGAAATGTTCCAAAAGGCAGAAGAATCCTTAGCAGATGACCAAACTGCCAATTCCCCAATTGTTGTTTCTCTAATTTTTCGAAGCTGTTTTTTAATAATTCAATCTGAAAGACTAGTTTGAATAAATAAGTAAAAAAACAAAAGTGTTTTATGTAAAGCAGTTGCCTGTCATGTTTTGGTAGGACCTAAGGAGGTCTCACTCATGAATGTGTTTTCTATGTTTCTAGGTCCAGTGCCAAAGAGTAAGTTCATAGTGGCCATCAACTGGACCGGTATCACCTTCCTGGATGAGAGAGAAAAGAGGCTGATGGAGCTGTCCTTCCCAGAGGTTATGGGTGTCAACACTATAAGGTACAGAGGCTCCTCATGTTGAAATAAATTATAGAAGAAGCTTGGACTGTTGTATTTAAATCTGGGCATAATTATATACAAAAAAACTCATGGCGCTATGTTAGATGAAAACAAAGCATTTTTTTTTAGGAATCTATAATTTGTTTTGGTCACTCTACTGTTTATCATAAATGTATTCATACTGTTGGCAAATTTAAGATTGAAGTCATGTCTTAGTTTATGTAAAAGTTTTCATCTGACTGTAAGTTGATTTAATAAAGGAGCCAAAGATTAGGGTGATGGAGAGGAGATTGTTCTACATTTCAAAATACCAGTGGACACGTCCAAAGAGCTGCTCAGCATTTTGGTGAATGGTTTGATTGGTGTTATCCCAATAAAGATTTCCAAGTTGTTAAATTGATAATGTTATAATTAATTAGACTTGATTGAATGAAGATAATATAAATTTAAATCGGCCAAGGGTATGCATAGTTTTGGGGTTAAATGTATCTTGTGGTTTTCATACTACAATTTTAATATAAGCCTGGCGCCTTATAGATCTTTAAAAATTATCGTTTTCATGTTTTTGCAGATAGAAAACAAGCTTACATAAATCTCAAACTGTGTATTAAACAATCAAATCAAATTAATTTTTTTTTCAAATGGGGCTCATTCACTTCCAATGCCATCTAAAATTAAAACAACCGGTCAAATTTATACTTAAATCAGTTTAAACTAATCATATGGACATTTTTGTCATTCTGTGTTATAATATAGTCCAGTTTTAGTTTCTAATGCCGACTACCAGAAAATCTGTTAAAGGAACACCCATCCACAGCAGCAAATCTGAGCATTCTCTCCTCATGAGCCAAAATAACTATTTTTCCATAGTTTGGCTTTGATTAGCAAATAAATGACTTTGAACTAAAACCAATGATGCTGTGTGCAAATCAGGGGGTCACCAGGGGGTCACCAAGGGGGTCACCAAGAGGTCACCAAGGGGGTCACTAAGGGCCCCTAAGCGTTTTCTGAAAACTGAAAAAATCACCAGGGGGCATAATTCAAAATTTTACTTTATTCTGTTTCTCTTCTTTTTTTAATAATTTATAGAGCTTTTCATCATCGCTTACCATGACAAAAAAATAAAATAAACAAATAAATCACTGATGCATCTACGTTTTGGCCACCAGTTTGCCTGATCTGGCAGTAGCCAAAGAGAAAATCTCCAAGTTTCCAGTGTGAAAAAAGCGCCAAAAAATATAAGATGCTAAGGTTATTAAGAAGGTCAAACTTTCTTAGATTAATTGTATTTACCCTTAACTTGAGCGGGTAAATTAGATAGTTAAGAGAGATAAGGCAATTGTGTTTGCTCATTTTAAGTGTAAATTGTTTTGTTCCATTGGCGAAATGTCTCTTTTACCTCCTCAATCTAAGAACATATTAACTTATTTTTAAGAAAAATTATTTATCGAGATTTCCATTTTTTCCACTGCAGTAGGTGGCTAGGCGTAAAACAATTAGCTGATCGCGCCCAGTGCAAAACATTTTTTTAGGCTAAAAAAAAGACTAAGTAAACACTACCAGGATGTACATGTGCATCGTTTTATTTTAGCATGAATATATGGTTTTTGATGTTTTTATTTTTTTATTTTTTAAGACAGTACATTACCATTCCCTTATTGGGGTATTAGAGGCTTCAGCTAGCCTTGTATAGAGGACATATCTGTTGATTCATTCACACAAAAAGGGCAACTAAAAACGATTTCTTGTTTACTTCGAAATAACAATATTAAACAGACGAAATACGGTACCAAGCTTAACGCAGCTGGAAGACATAACAATAGCTTAGAATTATTTCACTAGATGTGGTCAAGCTGATAACAACTAGAAGACTCTTTAAAATACTGTTTTTATTGTGATGAGAAACATTGTGGGGTTTTAACCTGACTAGTCTTATTTTGGTCACTGTGTGTTGGTCTGCTGTTGCTCCACAGGGAGGGTAAGACGTCTGGCCCCAGGATCTGTCTGCTGACACTGAAGGGAGACTTCATCCTGAGCGGAGCTTCGGTTGAAGACATGGCTGAGCTGACCACCATGTTCCTCAGTGGATTGACGGAGCGTTCCGTGTACGCCGTGGCACTAAAAGATGTCAACAGCCAGGGTCAGAGCCCTTGTAGCTCTTTATCAAGTTATTACTTTTAAACCTGCTTATGCCTGTTTTTTTTTAAATACCAACTCCTCTCTTCCAGATGATCCTACAATTCTAAGCTTTAAGAAAGGAGAGCTCATTATTCTTATCAAAGATGATGAGTTTTCTAAGCAGCGTGGCTGGATTAAAGGACAAAACAGCAGCAACAAAAAAACAGGAGCAGTCTCCACTGAGGCCATCCATATCCTACCAACGCTAAGCAGACCTAGCAATGAAATCTTGGTAAGGAGGTTTCATCTGAACAACTTTGTCTAATGTCTCTCCACTCCAATCAATGTTTAAATGTTTTTCTCTCTCTCTCTCCAAAGAGCTTTATCAACTTGTCTCCAAACCAGAGGAAGGACTTGGTCCAGGCAAACCAGAAAGATATGGGGACTATGGAGAGAGTACCCCCTGCCACGCTGAAAGAGTATTCTCTTCAGTATTTCAGGTTGCCTTTACTTTTTACAACTGTGTGCATTTTTTTTTCATAAGATGGTCAGCAAGTTGATTGCTGCATGAAAGCAGCAATACCTGTTTTTAATCAGCTGTCTGTCTTGCAGGCAACCCACCAAGGATGTGAACCGTCAGGTGATCTCTAGGAACGCCGCGCCGGAGAGGCTGTGGGCTCACTCTAGAGAGCCAATCAGACAGCCTCTCCACATGAAACTGTTGGGCACCCAAGATCTCAGCCACAAAGCCTGTATGGCCTTCACTGATATCCTCTGCAAAGCTGAAAAAATTATGATTAAAGTTAAGATTTTAGTCCTGTGCTTTGTAAGAAAAAACATCCCTTTGAGTGTGTGAATGCACCAGGGGCTTGTAATTAACACCAGTTAGTAACATAGACCACCAGCTTAGCAATACTTTCCAAAGGATCCATGATTTGTTAATTAAAAACAAGAAACAAAAAGCATCAAGGATCCTCCTACACTCCTCCAAGATGGACTATCAGCTCTGCTTTAAATCACTGCTGCATAACCTAAGATTATATTACCGGTATTGACTCAACCGATAGACCCTCTGAGTTCATGATTTTATTGGGCCATCCATGCTTGAAAAACAGTCCCAGGTTACCATACTACCACCACCGTGTCTGACTGTTGGTCTTAAATGCTGCTAGTTTTAGTTAGTTCTTTCCAAATGTCCTGGGGGATCATTTGGCTCTCTGATTTTCTCTGATTCTCTACATTCCACACAGACATGAGATTTGTAAACTCAATCTGCAGCTTATATATTCCTTTCAGCTTTTCCCCGCTGCCTGATTTTCTGGTCCAATCCATGTTTCCTTTGCCACACATAATGAAGAAGTAGGAAACACAGCTGGTTTCTACATTTTCAAACCCTTGTCTTATCGAAGAGTCACAGTAATGTCTTTCCAAGAGTTTTTCAGTGGTGATATTTAAGCGCTAAATCACCAGACGTTACTCAGTGTTTCTATGTGCACCTGAAAACATTTTAATCTAAATAAGTCATTTTTTCTTGATATAAGTGCATTTTTACTCAAATTGAGGAGTTAAGTTGGACGCTTTTCCAATGGAACAAGACAATTTACATTTAAAATTTAATGTGTTGACTTATTTCGAGTATTATCTAATTATCTTATTTTAATGGTAAACATATTTATTCAATTGGCAAATCATCTTATATTCCTACTCAAATTAAAGGTAAATACACCTAATATAAGAAATTTGTACTTATTTCTAGATTGTTTTTCCAGTGTGTGTACCCTCTCCAGTAGCAGCTGTTTAGTGTTTTTCCACCCATAGCTGACTGCGTAGTTACAAATTGATTCAACTGCTTTTTCGTCACTGGAGGAAAACAGCCTCACTGCAAAAACTATCTAGAAATAAGTAAAAGAATAAATACATTGAGTGTATCTAACCTTAATTTGAGTAGGTAAATGAGATGATTTGCCAATGCAGTTTTTAATGAGTTTTTTTACTCTTAAAATAAGATAATTAGATAATATGCACTTGAAATAAGACAATACAATTGTTTTTTCTTATTTCAAATGTAAATTGTCTTGTTCCATTGGCAAAGTGTCTCACTTAAATCCTCAATTTAAGAAAAAATGCACTTATTTTAAGAAAAAAAATACTTCTTTAGATCTACCTTTTTTGCAACTGTCAAATAACCTCTCTTGTTTAAGGTCTTAAAATCATGATACTTCTCCACATTTCTCCTTGACTTCTGCTTACCAATCCTTAAGTATATGGGAGATTACCCCACCAGGCAGATGCAGAGTCCTCTGGAGCTCACTGACCAGATCTTCAGTCCTCCCACTCAATCTGAGGCGCTCAGGGATGAGATCTACTGCCAGATCATGAAGCAGATGACCAGCAATAACAACAGGTACAGCAGAGGGATTTATTTGTTTTTTCCAATGCATCCAAACATCCATCCTCCCCAGAGAGATTTTCTAACAGTACATAGTATGTTTTTTTTTTAGTGATCTATTATATTCATTTTTTTTATCTTTTCTAATTTTTGTTACATTAAACATAAACCTCAGTGCATTTTGGGGGAGTTTAAGTTTAAAACTAAGTGAAAGTAGTTATTAAGAGTAAAATGAACTCATAGAGTATGTTGGAATTAGTTGAAATGCAGACAGAGCTACAGTTATGATGGCCTAGTCAAAGTAAAAATCTAAATCCAGAAGGAATCAGTGGCAAGACATGAAAACTGCTGATCAGAGACGGTCTGCCTCAAATCTGATTGAGCTTAAGTTGTTATGCAATGAAGTATAGTGATGGGGGAATTAGACGGAAATGAATAGGTATTTGTTTCTAAAAACATTTTTAAAACCTCGTTTTGTTTTCCTTTTACTTCATAATCATGCTCTACATTATTTTGTCTTCTTGTATAAAATCCTAAAAAATTATGTTTCTGGAAAATGTAAAGGATTGTTAACACTAATGCATAACACAGTGTCCTCAGATACTGTGCAGCAAGCATGAACTAAGAAAGCAATGTGTTCTAACTCCTCCTCTGCCCCTGCAGGTTCAGCATAGAACAGGGTTGGCAGCTGCTCTGGCTTTGCTGCGGCCTGTTTCCACCCAGCCAGCCTCTACTGAAGCACACTCAGAAATTCCTGGAGTCTCGGCGCAGGGAGCCCCTGGCCTCCGACTGTCTGCAGCGGCTGCAGAGCTCGCTGAGGTTCGTCTGGCCCTCCGTGCCACCAGCACAGAAAAATATGCGACCAATGTCACCAGCTTTTAGGACTTTTGTTGATCACTGAGCCTGCTCGGATGAGAGGAAAGAAATGTCCAGCTGTGGTATCCCCTGTTTATCTTGCAAAGCTGAGATAAAGTGTTTCCTTTTCACACCGTGGTCAGTGAGAATACAACATGCGGTGTGAGGGAGAACTTGTTGCAACAACGAAGATATGACCTGACGGAGCTGTGAAAGCGAATGCTTTGCATCGCCTTTGCAGTAGGGAGGCTGCCAAACTCAGCATTTGCATTACCCTCTCCTATATATATTTCTAATTTACAATCAGTTTCTTTAAGTCAAAACCAGACCATAAAGAAACAACCAACAAAAGCAAAGGAAACCCTATCATCCAATGGAAATCTAAATAAGTCATTTTTGCTTAAAATAAGTGCATTTTTCTATTGAATTTAGGAGGGAAATGAGACACTTTGCCAATTGAACAACACAATTTACATTTAAAATAAGAAAAAAACAATTACTTTGTCTTATTTCAATCACATATTATCTAATTTTCTTATTATAAGAGTAAAAATACTTCTTATCTTATTTACCTACTCAAATTAAGGGTAAATACACTTAATTTTAGATATATCTAATTATTTCTGAGTGATTTTTGCAGTGCACTGCATAAAGTGATCTAAAAAAGTAACAATTTCTTGAATGTATCTGCCCCTGATTTGAGCAGCAAAATTATATGATATGTGAAAGGAAGGGGCGTTTTCCCCTTTAACTAATATAACTGGATATTATGCATTGGAAATGAGATAATGGAGTTATTATTTGTTCTTATTTTAAAAGTAAATAATCTTATTCTTACTATATATTGTCTCTCACCTGCTAAGATCAAGGTAAAATGCAATTATTTTATGGAAAATAGACTTAGACAACTTTTATTGTCATTTTGTATACACAGAATGTATACAAAACGAAATTTGGTCTTGCACAGCTTTAATGATTATTCCATTCTTTAAAGTGGAGCAGAGATATTTATATGTCAGTTTTTGCAGTGTAGTTTAATGATAACTAATTTTGCTTAAAAAATAGATCTATATTTAGATGAAGAACATAAACGAGAATTTTTTTATTTATTTCTTAAACAAAAAAGACACTTCTGACAAAACCCCAAATCATGGGGTTGGCAGAACTTTACCCTTTTCTGTCTGCTAGGATGTCACCAGCAATTTGTGCTTAGATTTAGTTTTTAGCTCATTGTACTTCTTCAGATAGGAATTTCACCCTGATATCTTAAAAAAAGGTGAATAAACCAGATACTTTTTCCATAGATGGAAAGAAAAAAAGGATGTGTTTAAACTTTTGCTAATTTTGGTGTAGGTCGGATCCCAGGAAGCTTCCGCCGCACCAGGTGGAGGTGGAGGCCATCCAACAGAACAGCACCCAGATCCTTCACAAAGTCTACTTCCCCAACGACACAGATGAGGTACGCAGGGCGGAGCTCTGCTCCTACCCAGGATAAAGTCATTATTGAATTCACTGTCCAAACTGACTGATCTCCTCCCTGCCCAGGTATTTGAGGTCGCAACCCGCACCAGAATCAAGGATCTCATCCAGACCATTTCCAAAAGGCTACAACTGGCTTCGGCCGACGGCTTCAGCCTCTTTATGAAAACACAGGACAAGGTTCAGCAATCGTTTTCAGATCTTTTATGAGCATTTTCACTGCATATGTGTAAAACAGCTTTAAAATAAACAGTTCCTATTTTTAGAATATATATCATGATTTCAAGAAGTCTTAGTTATCTTACTGCTCCGGCAGATTCTGATATTTTGAGTTAAACTTTTTAAAATAAGATGAAAAATCTAACAAAATCGGCTTTTCAAAACCAGATCAAAGAGATGTTTTGGCTAGATGTAAGACACTAAGACTGTTAGATTGACATGTTTTGCAGTTTTTTAACTACTTGTACCACCTGAAAAAAAAATTCTCAGGTTCTTTTTCTATAAGAAAATCAAACGATTGATTTATTTCACAGCTTTTTACACGTTTTACAAAAGGGGACAATCAAGACAAATACATGATCTGTAAGAATAGAGAAACTAATTAATACTTTAGAGAACTCTGGAGTAGAAGTCCTCATACCACATTCACAATTAAAATAAGAAAACACAATTGCATTGTCTTATTTAAAGTGCATATTATCCAGTTATCTTATTTTAAGAGTAAAAATACTCTTTTCATTGAAAAACAATTTCATTTACCTACTCAAACTAAGAGTAAATACACTTAATTTAAGAAACGTTTACTTATTTCTAGATCGTTTTTCCAGTGTAAGCTGTAAAAATGAAAATAAAACCGTGTGAATTTTTCTTCCAATTAATGTATTCTCCCTTTATTTGAGCAGGTATCTGAGACAACCTGCTGATAATGGAATAAGATGATTTAAACTTTGAGAAAAAAAAATAACTCAGTTATCTTATCCCAAGTGCGTAATATCAAATGTTCAAGGGAAAGAACATTTAATAGATAATCTCATCTTATTTAACTGCTCAAGTTAAGAGCAAATGTACAAATAAAAAAGCATCTTTACTTTACTTTTTAGATTTCAGGTAGAAGTTTTTTTAAATTCGCTCCAACTAACATTAGTGTTGCACTGTCAAAACTTTTCTTACAATGAGAGCTTTTTTTCTGCAATTGAGCTGTGAAGTAAGACACTTTGCTAATGGAATAAGAACATTTACATTTAACATAAAAAATAAAATAAAATACTGCAGTCTCTTATTTCAAGAGTATAATATCCAGTCATCTTATTTTAAGGGTAAAAATACTAATTCCACTGGCTGATCATCTTATTAACCTGCTCTAATTAGGAGTTAATACTCTTATTTTAAGAAATTTTTACTCAGTTTTAGATGTTAGATTTTTTTTGCAAATGAAATTCAATTTTCTAAACAATAAAAATGTATAAAAGGCATCAAGAGCAACTTTCATATCTTTTATAGAGTTTCCTTACCCCTTAAATGTTAAGAATGACTTTTGTTTATTTTTTTATGCATCTTTAAACCTTCTAATGACGTGAAAAAGAAACCTAACCATCTCTACTCAATCTCAGGTTCTCGGTTTAAATGAAGCAGACTACTTCTTTGACAGTCTGAGGCAAATCACGGACTGGTCGAAGAGAGCCAAAAGGATCAAAGAAGGTAATCTGCACCTCATGCAAAAAGCAAAACACTTAATAGTCGTCTATGTGTGACCTTAAAACCCCCTTTCTGTGTCTGTGCTGCAGGTGGGCCGGTCAACATTTCCTACCATGTGTTCTTCATGAGGAAGTTGTGGTTTAATGTAGTCCCTGGCAGGGATATCAAGGCCGATCTTATCTTCCATTTTCCTCAGGTACATTTGAATGAGCAGCTTGAATTTCCAGCCTCAATCAGGGCATTTTTTTCCCTATGCTTTTCTACTTTGAATATAATCGTGCTCAGCACCCAGACAAGGGTATCTGATCAGCAGGGAAGGCATCATGTAAATCCACAAATGGGACATAGGCAGGTATTTATCTATCAACTCCAAAAACTCAAATCTCGCAGCAAATCTGGAGAGATTCTGCAGCTTTGGCTTCAGAAGTTTATATTTTAACCTTTTTTGTCTGAGCTCTTCTTCCTCCTGCTGCAAAGAATGGATCTGATGATGTTTCACTACAAAAGTGGGGGGATTAAAATGTCTTATTTGAACTATTTAGGTACCACTGACCACTAATTATTAAAATTGTTTTAATCCTAATGGTAAAAACAGTATTTTATTCCCATTTTCCTGCTCAGCGGTGAGCTATTTAAATGACACAAGCAAATCAAAGGGAAAAATATAAGTAGTCTCACAGGTTTGTCTGTTTAAATTAGATCAATATATAAGCAAAACAAATAATGTCCTAATATGTTCAAGTTTATTACAATTTCGTCTACATTTTGTTTGTTTTTTGTACGATTAGCATCAAGACGAGCTTTTGGGATTTTTCTGTCTTCCTTTCTTTTGAAGTCTGGATGTTTATGATCCTTTTTACTGTAAATTACAAAAACCTGGTGCTTATTCATGACCTGATAGATTTTTCTTAAGGCCTCAGATCAGTGAACTTGGCACCCTTACATTTTATAAAGATGCAGAGTATCAGTATCGGCCGCCTAGGCTGGTAAACCATATTTATGCTTTGCTTGAGTTCTGTTAAAGGGCCTCACAGGGTCATCCTGAGGGTTCACAAACGGCCCCTGGACAATGCTTTGGACATGCCTGCTCTACAGTTAGTGTTTGATCGTATTGGCCGGATCAGTGAAGTTTAAACTCTATGTTCCAGCCTATCGTTTTTCTAAATACTCACCCTATTTTTGAGCTTTGAATAGAACTGAAGACCTAAACAGAAGAAAGTCTTCAGTTCAAAGCACTCAGGCTGCTGATGCCAGAAGTCTTATCTTGAAGCAGGATAAAGCAAGAAAACACCAACAACAAAAAAACATAAAATCTAAAAACTGAATCAAACTTGCTTCTTGACCCAACTGGGCGCAGCTTCAGTTCTGTGTCTCAGCTGGTCAGGTCCTCACTGCTGTGATTATTTTATTTAAAAGGAGAAAATATTCTATTGGCATATCACACTGGAAAATANTATTTTTGAGCTTTGAATAGAACTGAAGACCTAAACAGAAGAAAGTCTTCAGTTCAAAGCACTCAGGCTGCTGATGCCAGAAGTCTTATCTTGAAACAGGATAAAGCAAGAAAACAGCAACAACAACAAAAAAAAAAATCTAAAAACTGAATCAAACTTGCTTCTTGACCCAACTGGGCGCAGCTTCAGTTCTGTGTCTCAGCTGGTCAGGTCCTCACTGCTGTCCTTCTGAAGGTGTTCTGACACAGATTCTCAGGAACATGTCAGATTCTTCAAACCAGGTTTGTTCTTGTGTTTAACAGGGAGATTGTTGCAGAGGAATCACCAGTGAGATGCAGGTCTGTTCAGGCACTGAAATATTCTTAGAAAAGATCAGCCACAGTCCCTGCAATAAAAAGTTGTCGAGTCCAATGTGACCTGAAGACTTTATCAAAGGTCTCAATTTGAACAATGTCATGCATCTGAAAAGTATGGAGGACCTTAGTGTTTTTCTTTGTTAAAATGAATTGGAAGCACAAGTTTAAATTCATTTGAATTCTTTAAACATTAGACATACAGGCTCAAACTTAAACACCCACCAATGTATTTAAATATCTTTCCCGCGGCACTTTGCAGAGAAACTAGAAGCTTTTAAAACAATCCGCTACAAAAATTGAAATCGAAGTTGATTTTTCTTGAAATAAGCATAGTTTAGAAAGTTAGCAAGAGAATTTGCAGATGGAATAAGATTATTTGTATTTAAAATGTGAAAAAATACTCCATCTTAATCAAAGTGCGTGATTATTTTATTTAAAAGGAGAAAATATTCTATTGGCATATCACACCGGAAAATATCTAAATCTAGATAAGTCAGTTTCTCTTAAAATAAGCGCATTTGTTCTTGGATCGAGGCGTTAAAAGCGACATTTTGCCAATGGAACAAGACAATTTACATTTAAAATAAGAAAACACAATTGCATTCTGTTATTTTAATTTTATGTTATCTAATTATCTTATTTTAAGAATAAAAATACTCATTCCATTGGCAAACTATCTCATTAACCTACTCAAATTAAGGGTAAATGCACTTGATTTCAGCAATTTTCAAAAAACGATCTAGAAATTAATCTGATAATATGCACTTGAAATAAGACAAGGCAATTGGGTTCTTATTTTAAATGTAAATTGTCTTGTTCCATTGACAAGGTGTCTCACTTAACTCCTCAATTCAAAGAAAATTTTTGCTTATTTAGATTTCAGTTTTTTGCAGTGCAGTGCATCTTATTTACCTGCTTAAATTAAAGACAAATGCACTTATTTTAAGTCGTTTTTACTTATTTTTAGGCAAGTTTTTGTATTGTGGCCTAATTCTGCTTGGATATTCTAGTAGTTTTTTCTATGAATTGCTTGCTTTCCTTGCTTATCGTTCTCCTCCAGTCCTTTGCCCTGCAAATGGTACCATGGGTATCTTTTTAGCTGTGGTAATGTGTGAAAGCCTTACCAAGACATTGATGTTTGTCTCATTCTGGAGCAGCAGGTTTTTGTCTCAGTTGGTGCCCTTTGAGTCGATGTAAACTCTTTTGGGCTCCTAAGAGTGATGCATCAGTTCCAGGATTTTCCTTTTCAGGGCAGGTTTAAAATCAGGAGGTTTCTGAATATCTGATTTTAATCAAATTCACCGAAAGAAAACAGTTTGGCTCAGGTGGTTGAAATTTAAGGATAATTGGTAGATGATACCAAAAACATATTAAAGTTGGTTTTGAATGGATAAAGCAAACTAACATTAGGCTTCAGGATTAACCTTCAACCAAGCTCTTTTGGATGGACTGTGTGTAGAAGTAGTGTTTGTTCCTGTTCTTTTTTCCAGCCTAAATTATGTCAGGATATTGTTAATGGATTCAGAAATGTGTGTTTTTTATTTAATACTGGGAATGTATGTATAATTTTGACCCAAAAGGGGAGAAAATGCAGTACAAATGTCAAAAATCATTCATATTCTAGATTGTATCTACAGGATTTAAACTTCAGACTGGCTCTAAAACTAACCTCCAACAATCTCTGTTTTCCAGGAGTTACCTAAGTACCTGAGAGGCTATCATGTTTGTACCAAGGAGGATATGGTCAACATCGCTGCTATGCTCTTCCTAGTAAAGGTCCGCGGTGACAAAAGCCAGATCGCCACGATTCCCAAGGTGCTGAAGGAGCTCGTTCCTGCCGACCAGCTGAAGGCCATGTCTGAAAACGAGTGGAAAAAGGTACAAAAGCACAGAGGATGAGGCTGACCGCAGTTCTGTTGTTTGGGTTTTTAATCAAGGAGTTGAGAGAGGTGGATATGTAACCTGCTGGTGCTTTTGGCCTCTCTTAAGAGCCAAGTATGTAATTATGTACGTTTTAACTGGAAAATATCTTTAAAATGGATTTGACCCTTATTTGACCCCTTCTTTGGAGGGGCTGCTTAAAAAACAGAATTTATTAGGATTATTCAGACATACATGAATTAGGAGAAAAATCACTTAGTGCATGATTTAGATGAAGGAATAACATTATAAAAAAGATGATTTTGCTTGATATAGGTTCTTTTAAACCAATTTTGGATTTGAGGTCAGTTTGAAAACTTGCTCTTAGAAAACCAGGCAGAGCTCTAGCTGTTTAGTAAAGAACAATGCCGGTTATAAAGGCATTAAAAACTGTAGACATACTGTAAAAGAGCTACACTACAAAAAATGGAAATTCAACAGGTAGATCATCATGTTTACCTGCTCAAATGAAGGGCACCACCACTTGTTTTAAAAAATGTTTGCATGGTGCAGCTGTGACCGCAGTGAAAGGCTCCTGTACTGAGCATTGACTTTATGCCACATGTTGCTCCACTTCTGCTGCACAGTCACACACAGCTTTTTGCTACAATAAAACACATTGAAGCGTATTTAATGTCATTAAATATACAAACGGGAATGTGTACTTATACAAAGCAATGTGTATATTACCTACACACTTCAAAAATAATCTGAAAATAAGACATTTATTGAATTAAGTGGTTTTGCCATTCATTCATTAAGTTAAGTAAAATGATCTACCACTGGGGTGTATTTTTTAGGCCTAAATAAGATAATTAAGGCCCTTGAATTAAGGTAATGGAGATTCTTTCATTTTGGGTGCAAAATTCATATTCTTTTGGCCTACGTTGAGTTCAGTTTTTGCAGCGTGACTAGCTCACAAAGCTATCCTGAGGCTCTAAGGGCTAAAATCATGTCTATGCACTGCAAAAACAATCTAACAATCTAGAAATAAGTAAAATGTCTTAAATTAAGTGTATTTACCATTAATTTGAGTAGGTAAATAAGATGATCTGCCAATGGAATGAGCGTTTTTACTCTTAAAATAAGATAATTAGATAATATGCACTTGAAATTCTTAATTTTCTTATTTTAAATTTAAATGGTCTTGTTCCATTGGCAAAGTGTCTGACTTACCTCCTCTGTTCAAGAACAAATGCACTTAATTTAGGAAAAATTGACTTATCTAGATTGGGGATTTTTTTCTACTTCCACTGCTAAAGAGATGATGAAAGATTCAAAAATGCTGTACTGTAAGTTTTTAAAGATAATTAAATATGCAGATATACTGGATTTCCTGCAGAGCTGTTTTAGATGAGAATTTGAAATAAGTGTTCATTAATAAATGCTGGGAAGTTCAGTTCATCTGTGGCTGGATGTGTGTGAAAAGATATCGGGAAAGGAGAGTAAGAAAAACATAATCCTTTGTCAGTATTTGGCTGATCTTTATGAGGAGAGACCTTTATGAAGGAGGAAACCCCTCCTGACACCCCCACCCACGCCCAGTGAGAACTTCCCCTGAAGGCCGTGGGGTGTGAGAGAAACGCATTAACCTCATTAAAAGCAGGGCAGTGGTTTTGTTCTTTTTCTACAGCTATGCTGCTATACCCAACCTCATATTTGTGCTTTCATTTGGCTGTTTTGTATTTCTTTTTCAGAATATAATCGCAGCCTTTAACAGACGTACCAATATGAAAGTTGATGAAGCAAAGATTGCATTTCTGAAGGCGGTTTGCCGCTGGCCGACATTCGGCTGCGCTTTCTTTGAAGTGAAGGTGGGTTCTGCAGTCGTTCTGCTATCTGTCATCTGCTTAGATTGCTTGCATGGTCTGCTCATTGCACTCACCCACCTCTTAGTCCTCTTGCATGCAGAAAGCAAACACATTAATGACGGGGAGGAACAGCAACAGGGGAGGTGGTAATTTTTCTGTCTTAATGTCCGTTTTCAGCAAACGTCAGAGCCAGATTTTCCAGATATTGTGCGAATCGCAATCAGCAAGACTGGACTCACCATCTTGCACCCAAAGACCAAGGTTAAAACAGAAACAGGAAATATTACATTCACTATCTTTCATAGATTCCCTTTACTGACATTTTTTTTTTTTTTGTCTCACAAGGATGTTTTGGCAAACCACCCATACAACAAAATAGCTAGCTGGTGCAGCGGAAGCACCTACTTCCACATGACCGTTGGCAGCTTAGTGAAGGGTAACAAATTCCTCTGCGAGACTTCACTGGTAAGCTATTTTCTTTCAAACAAGGTGATCTTTTCTCTAAGAGCTGGAGCTGATTCTTAGCAATAATTTAACTCTTCTTTCTTTAATAGGGCTACAAGATGGATGATCTGATTACTTCCTATGTGAACATGTATCTCAGGGAGAGAACGGCGCAGTCCAGGGGCCATCGCTACAACATGTAGACATTAGGAGTTCAACCCTGCTTCTCCTTGCAGCTCCACAACTCCTTATCAGAGTTTTTAATGTAATTTGGTTTAAAAAACAAAGCCACAGATTTATTGCATGTAAATAAGTATTTCTCAGCTTTGATTTGTTGCTTCACAAACAGGAAAATGTAAAGCCCTGGTCTCTTTGCATATTTACCTAAACATTTTTAAGAACTAAACACTAAAAATTTCCTAATCAGGATTTTTTTTTTCTGTCTCTGAAATGGAAATTATTTCCTAAATAGATAATTTCCCATAAAATGATGCACTAAATTTGTTCAGTATTACATGGTTGGCATCAGTACCGTCTTCTTCTTCAGTAGCTTAGCAATGATCCTTGCTTAACTGGCAGCCGTAGATATTTTATCCCAACAAGTTCTAAAAACATTATATTCTGACAACACAAAAAAGTAAACAGATATACAGATACAAAGTTCTCAATACACTGAAAATAACCATGGAAATAGGTAAAAATGTCTAAAATTAAGTGTATTTAGCCTTAATTTGAATAGGTAAATGAGATAGTTTGCCAATGGAATGAGAATCTTTACTTTTAAAATATGATAATTAGATAATGTGCACTTAAAATGAGAAAATGCAATTGGTTTTGCTTTTTTTCAATGTTTGATGGTTTGATATCACTTGATGATAATGTGGCCTGCAACATTTTTCAGTGTAGCTCACGTTAATCTTTGCAAACCAAACTTATAGGATGTTTTAGGGCCTCTCAAACACATTGCTTTGCAGTGAATGGTATAAAACTAACAAAGAATAGCCATTTGATCTTAGAACTGTCGCATCTTAGCGACTTTGTTGCGATATTTAACGATTTTTCAGACCCCTCTAGTGTTTTTTGTTGTTTTTTTTTTTCAAAAAGGTGATTTATCCAGCGGCTTTCTTCTCTGTTGCTGGAGACATTTGTGACAACCTAAAAGCAGTTATTTCTCCCCTCTGTTTCCTTGTGAAAGTGAGTCACACATGTGCACAACTTTAACGGATCCCCCCTGGATTAAAAAATGCGGGATGTTAATTTAATATTTAACAAAATGTTTTTTTGTTTTTGTTTTTTTTTTTAAACTTGCATTTAAATAGATCCCTCCCTGAATTTAATTCATACCAAGCCTGTGTTTCTGTTAACTGTCTTTAGGTTAAATTTAGCAAGATTGATTTACGTGGTTTGTGTTCGGGTGAAATATTTTGATTACTTCAATATTACATCGTATAGTATTTCTCTTTAGTTTTAAACATATTTAAAGTGACCAAGTATGGAAAATAGGCAGTGATGTTATCCAGCGACCTCCTTTTTAGGACAGCTTAGCTTATCTTAGTTCAGCAAAGCAGCAGATCAGTTCAAATGACACAGACAGAAATTAAACTGTTCTTACTTTTACAATCAACGTGCAAATAAAAATAAATAAATAAAATTATTAGAGAAAATCCAGAGTCCTAGATCTATTGAGAATGCCGGCAGCCATGATTGTAGAGGCTGCACAAAACCAGAGCAGCAGACAAAATGTCCAATCTGGACACCTAGGGCAAAAAATGGTTGGCTGATTGTTTTTTTTTTCTAAAATTCACCCTTCAGCATTTTCTGTTCATAAAAAAATATAAGTTGAGTGTTTAAGATTCTTTTAGCTGGATCTCTGTTTCTAAAACCACCATGATGGCTATCATTAACAATCCGCCACACGTCCAAAGTTAATCTAGCATTAGCATCAAAACAAGCCAAATCTCCAGTGACTGTCTGCTTTTTGTTTCTTGTGCAGGACTGTAGGGCTCTGATATGTGCTGCTTAAGCTCTGTCAGCTCATTTCGTTCCCCAATGGTGGAGAGAATCTCTGAGTAACTGTGGATTCATGCGAACCACATAGAGACATGAAGAGATTCTCTGCTTGGGAAACCTTTTTTGATGAATGGTTTTTAGGGTTGTAGTCAGTGCCTGCTGTAACTATGTGACCGTTGTTGCATCATATTTGTGTGGACAGTTGGTTTGTTCCTTGATCAGCCATTTTATTGCACCTATATCTCACAGAATGTATTTCCTAATAAAAAAGCATCTTTCTCCCTAAAAATTTAAAACCACAGGCTGTTTATATTTTCTGTTTGTGGGTTTCTTTGTCTTCTTCTTCTTCTTCACTTCCTTCGATGCAACTCTGTGTCACTTCCCTCGAACATGCTCCTGCTCCTGTGCTACACCAACATGATGGGGGCCCAAGGCTTGAAATATTGCCCCACACTTCTGGCGGTATTAAAAAACTCTGCAGGGGTGTCTTTCAAAGTGTCTGAAATCATTCAGTGTAGTTGATCCTAGAATGGGTTTTCTCTTGAGAAAATGTAATGCCTGTAAGCTGCTTTTTTCCCCCTTCTTCTTCTTCCTCTTGGTAAATTTAACAAATAAAACATTCCCACTAATGTTTGGCCGGCCATGTTCATTTCTCTCTATTCCATCCTGTTTATCTTGTCCAACTTGGTATATTTGACTTTAAAAACATTAAACAAAATAGAAACCAGGATTTGTATTTTAACAGACATGTAGTTTTTATTGTATATTTATGTATATAAATAAGGCTGCAAGGCTCTATATTAGGATGAGTTTCTAAAGTGTCAGCAGCTACACCCAGTAGGGGGATGAACCCCCAAAATAAAAGCATCACATTTCTTTACAGTGTCAATGAAACCATCAGAGGATCTATTTTGCTCCCAGAAGGCCTTTAAGCGGCAAAAAGAATGATGAACTTGATAAGAGATGTTTTCTTTGCTGCGGGGTTACCAAACGCACCATGAAGAGAGAGTAGACGGAGCAAACAAAGGGTGGGGGAACCATCCCAATTAGAAGCTGGCAGCCGATTAACAGCGTAGTGATGTCAAAGCCTGTCTACAGTCCTCCACTGATAGTGGCTTCATTCAAGTCTGTAGAATAGTGTTTGCATGTCGATAATCCAAGAGGAGAATAAGGGGCCATGCTTCCAGCACACAGCTGTGGAGTCCACATTATGAAAGAAATATTATCCCCCTCAGCCAGGCGCTTCTCTCTCCACATCTGTCCAATGGCTATGTGACTGATTATTTTGGGCATTCCAATTCAAGATGCCCCCAGGAGGCAAGAGAGCAACAAGGGCCTCTGTTTTCCTCCCAGCAGCCCCCCTCCCCTCACCATTGCTTATTTTGTGTTTTTTTTTTTTTTTCCCTCACTGCCCCATAGAGCAGGGGCCCTCTATACAGACCATCCACAAGCAATCATCTCTGCAACTTTACTCATAAACTTCACAATTAGCAACTCTTCCATCTATATGGGGGGGAGGGGGCATGTTTATGTTTTTGGGGCTCTTGCTGCAGCACGAGCCCTGGTTTCCATGGAGTCATACCCGACAACTCGTTGGGAACTGAGGCATGCCATTCTTCTCCCCGCTGCCGAAATGCGGCGGTTATTCTGACTCAGGCTATTGTGGAAACGCACAAGTGGCTCTCAGAGGAGAAGGGGATGCAGAGAGAAAGGGTGGGGTCAGGGTTCAAACGAAAGGCTCCCATCGGGGCTCCCTTTCTCTTATCAAATTTGTTGAAAGACAAAAAGAGCTACAGTCTTGTTCCTCGGGCCATCTTGAGGAGAGGAGAGGGGTTATAGGACGGCATTCCTCAAGTCAGAGCATCAGTTCTTTCTCTGAGTGGGAGATAAACTCCTCATCTTCACTTTGCTCCACACGCTGCTCCCTGCTCCACACAGACTGCTGCACTCCTCCGGTAAGTCTTCTCATGATCTCATTTTTATCAGATCTATTTCTATTAAAACAGTAGATCTGATTATAGGTAGTATCTGTCATCAGAATAGCTTTTCTAACTTTTTTTATTGCCTTTTCATAACATGACGGTGATTAGGTTAAAAATAAATTGAGTGAGTGAGTAAATCTCCAAATTTGTACATTTCTTACATGCATATTCTTTCTGAACAAACAGTTTATCGGAAAGCAAAAGAAGGAGATATCTGGGAAAATTATATAGAAAGTGAAATAAAACAAGTACTTGCATTTGAAAAATAGACCATGCACACTTTTAATATATAACAAAAAGCCAATTTTGAAGAGTTCTTTTTTTTTAACCTGCTATTTATTTGCTCAGGCGGTTTGCTTCACATGTGTGTTGAATGGATCACAGCTTCTGTGATCAGGTGTTCCAGCCCAAGATGTTTGGACTTCATCCATAAACTAATCTGCACTTCAGAAACAACTTGGCTCATTTTCATTGGTCCAAAGTCTTGAGATTTGGACCAAGCCACAGTTTCCTATTGGTGTGTTTGGGGTCATTCTTTCATTGAAACCCTTGTATGGAAGGCATTTCCTCTTCAGCATAAGTCACTTGATCTGCATGTATGCTGACTGCTATAACATAATAAATAAGCTTGAGATCATTTAGCAACATATCATAATGCTTAAGCTAGCATGCTGCTTAGCGTCCACAGATCAGACTTTAGTGTCTGCAGCCCTCAGAACCCAAAGAAAAGCTTTCATCATTTAAGTGAAATGTTGCACCATTTCTCTTTGAGCATACTTTGTATTCTTGAGCAAACCGCAACCTCTTCTGCTTCTGTTGGTTTGAGAGTAGCCTAACATACTTTTCCTCCTCATCTTTTTAGTTTTGGTTTCTATTTCAAAGCATTTTGAAGTCATTTTAGCCAAGCAGCAGAGTCTAAACTCAGAGTGGTCGACCGCATTGCTGGTATTCAGTCACACGGTATTAACAGCATGGACCTGTTAAACTGCTGTTTCTGCTGGTTTTCCATTAACCTATAACACTGAATAGAATGTTAGCCGTCATCTTAACATAATTTCTACAAAAATCTGTGACTGGTCTGGTTGGTGATGTTGAACTCAGAGGCATAGCCAGAAAATTTTAATAGGGGTGGCCAGGCATTAACCAATGTACACTGAGGGGTGGCTGATAGCGGATAGGCGCCAGAACCTCAGGGTAAAGCTACACTGTTCCTACAGGAACGAGCACAACATCCATATTTTCTAAATAAAGACAAACTATACTTTCCTAAAGCCATTGCCAACAAATAGACGCATATATTTAAACATCTATGCTGTCCAAATAAAAGGTATAGTGGACATATTTTCCATTGTCATTACCAACCTACTTTTATCAGAGATTGTTCTGCAGCAAATTAATATTTACGTGTTCTAATATCTACATTAAATTGATTTTGAAGTTATTATTAAAGTTGTTATTTATCTATGATTTCACTGCAGACTCCTAGATACCTTGCAGAGACACAATGTTGTCTTTACCCCATATAACACAAAATCTAGTTCTGAAAAGAGCATGAATTCTGTATTAATCAACTTTAATATTATTATTTTGATGTGCATGATTAACCACAAAAGTTTAGTTGTCAGTTAATTGTTAATATATGAAAAATTTTAATGTTTTATAAGTTTGAACATTCCCCTTGAGAGTATTACTGCTGCATCTGAACAGGAGGGTGAAAAAATATAGTAGGGGTGGCCAATGTTTGGCTAAGGGTGGCCATGGCCACCTCTGGCCCTGGTTGAACTTCCATTTTTTTTCTAGCAAAGCTGTTTTTTTTTTCAGTTTTCCTCTTCTTGCTAAAAAGCTTTTAAATCAACACATAAATTGACAGCTTGAGTTTTTCTTAAAGTAAAAAAAAAAAGACCTTGATACTTTTGTCTCCTTATGAGAACGTCTGCACCGATCAGCTTTACAAGAATGCTGCGGTGCAAGCAGATTTAAAGTTTTGTTCTTTCAGGATAATCCCACAGAGAGATGCATGACTTGAGGCTTTTCTGGTCCCCTCTGTGTTGTTACCCCCCGACCAATCCTGCAGCTCTTTTATTTAGGAGGTGTGAAAGCTCAGAGTCTGAGCCTTGGGTCTAGGTTTCAGTTCGTTACATCTGACTGGTTTCTCAAAGGGAGGCTGATGAGACACAGATTAGATTTTTGTCCTTCAACCCGTCTGGATGACTTGGTGGACATCAGTAGGTTAGAGGGAGAAGTGGGATGTGAGGAATGACAGATTTGCTGGTCAAACAACTTTACAGTTTTTTGAAACTCTAAAGTTTGTTGCTGCATATGATGATCAATGTAAAACAGCCTTAGAATAAATAAAGTCAGGCTTTGACATGTTGCAACCCACTGATGCTGCACTGGTGTCCAGCTAAAGCTAGAAAGGAAAAAGAGGAGTGGACGGTGGAAGTTTGCCACAGATTGTGTGGGTGTTTTGTTTTAAGGTGTGTCCAAAAAAACTGGGAATACATTGCTCAGTCTTACAAGGAATGCTGGAAGATTTGGTGACTTTTAACCCAAAATAAAAAGGCCTCACCCATTTCTGAACTTTTGCAAAATATCCGATGCATTTGATCTTTTTCACCTTTTTTTTTTCTTTCTTCCAGTTTGAATCTTGGCTCATGTCTTGTGAGACATTCTTGGACATTAACTGAGAGCCTCTTATAGTCTGAACTCTGCATTCCATAACTCATCCAGTTCTGGTAAGGAGTTCACATACTCATCCGCCTGGATGCCATATTGACTGTGGACAATGAATGATTTATTTCAAATGTTTAAAAAGTGACATAATGTAAAACATTTAGGTTAAAAAGTGTACGAGATGGTAGCTCTTACCCAAGTCTACACTGAGTCAGTCAGGCCAGGTGTTGAAGTATTCAGGCTTTTAGAGTACCGTAACTTCAAAAACTAGTCTATATAAAAGTAAAAATCTCTAAAATAAATGTATTTGAGCAGTTAGATAAGATGATTGCCCAATGGAATCAGTATTTTTGCTCTTTTAAGAAGATAATTATAAACAAAGTTATTTTCTTATTGTAAACGTAAACCATTTTATTCCTTTGGCCAATTGTCTTATTTAACTGCTTAGTGAGAGGGAAAATACACTTAATCCGAGAAAAAAATGCTTATTTCTATCTCAATTGCTGCAGTGTTAATTAAAAATGTTTGAATTGCTGACGTTAATTGAACATTTATGTCAGCAGCTCAATGTTGAATCCTTCATTTACTCCACAGCGAGTTCTGATGTATTGGGGTTCATAGTCCGGTCAGAATAATCAAGTCCGTCCAACTTTCCACTCACTGCTCAGTTCACAGGAAGCTGTGTAACTTTGAAGCTTTCTTTTCAATTTTATTCATTGTGTATTATAAATAGCTTGCTGGGGGAAATAAAAATTACGAAAAAAAGACCCTCAGTATGACACCCCCACCACCTTGCTCCAAATTTCTCTGAAACCTGAAAGCCACCCATCCTAAATCCTTATGAAATTATTCTTGTGATTTTGATTAAAAGATCAATCTTATTTGTTGAAGCATAAATTCATGTCACTTGAGTCTAAAGGTTTTGGTTTGGCATTGGGTCGGAAAGGTTTTGTTTAAAGCAAAATATATATCTGGGTTTTCCAAAGTGTGTCTCCAAATGAACCCCTCAATGCCCAATGGTGCAAATATGTCACAAGCTGTTTTATTATGCAAAAATCTAAGCTAGGGCATGTAATTCCCCAAATGCCAGTTAATACCCATTCAATGCAGACCTGTAAACCTTTAGCAAGCACTTGTTTCTGGCATGACTGATCCCCGATAGTGTATTTTGTTATAAACTGTTACATTGGGTGTCATAATTTGCAGTACACTCAGATTCCTATTTTTTGTGCAAACAGCCAAATAAAAAATCGTTTTGGAAACTACTTAAAAGAAAAAAGTTCAAACAACATTTACTTTTTACATGTATGTAAATTCCAATATTTGGAGTAAAAAAAAAAGCCAATTTAACTCCTCATACACAGGTGGAAAACTACAGACTGAAGGAAACTGTAAAATTATAGTCTCTCAATAAACATGTTTTTTTATTCTAATTCATTTTATCCTAAACAGGACTAGCCACCTAAACACACACGCATAAAAGCACATTTGCAAACAACTAGGCTAAGTCCAGTTTTGTAATTCATTGTTGATAAAAGACAAATATTTATTTTTATTGAGTTCAAAATTATCCCTTTTTTTTAGATTTTAGTTTTTCTTAATAAAAAAACAACTTTCTTGGTCAACTTTTACTTTTGACCTTATGACCTCCAACCAATGATAGCTAACCCAATAAATAGACATAAAATTATGACTAAACCACACCTCTACATGCTGTTTCATGTCAGCAGCGGATATTTACCATACTAACAAGTCAACAGCCTTTGTATGCAGGTATTTTTTGGTTTCATGCAAATCTGGTAAACATTTTCTTTCTATATAATCCCTTCTGCATGAGAGTCAAACAGTAATCCATTCACAGCTAAGGTTTAAGCGATATCCAGTATGTTTGGATATCAGCTATTTACAAGGTAAATATGAAGCAAATTAGTTACAATGCAAAGCTAAAAGGTCAGCCAAGTAAATTAGTTTTACAAGCCATTTATAAAAAGGAAATATGATGGATGGTTTTTCCAGAAGTCTGCTTCATCTTTGGGTACAATTTCCAGTCTGTTTGATCGTACCACTACTATCAATTTAAACAATATCCAAGTAGAAACATAATGACAACATGTTTTAAGGTGAAATATGTTCCCCATTTAACTAACAAAAGCTAACACCTTAGCTTGAGCTGCTGCAAGAGTCTTAAAATCACTTAGTGAGGAAAAAGCCATCCCTCCAAAAGCAGCATAAAAAGCCAGATCACAGTTTGCAAATAAACCTTATTTAGTGATTAAAAAAAAACATTTTACATCTGGAGAAAGAAAAAGCTGTGCAGTATGGGGTGTTAGCATCATGTTAAGCTGCTAAAGAAATTGGCACATTTTACAAGCCCTATGGTGTCTAAAGGACAAAATAGAAAGTAAGTGAACATTTTTTAATCTAAAAGGACCAACCATTTAAAGTTTTGGCACTGATGGGTCTTTTGCATGAGCAATGATCTGAAGCAGACCACCAAATTAGCTGAAGCACAGAAAAATTTTATATCTGGGCCCTCCAAAAGTCCTAAGGGAAATATGATATGCAAACAAGGTGGAATACAAACCAGAACACTGGTTCTGTCAGGAGGATAAAAAATACCAGCAAAGTATTGTAAGAAGTTTCTTATACCGGTAGTAAAATCTGAACGGTTGAGGGTAGTCAGTTTAAAAATACATTTGACAAGATATAAAATGAAGCTAAGGCGGAAATTCAACTGAAGAAACTCTGATTACTTCTATTCAATCTGGGGCTGATCCGCCTCCGATGCAGCCAATCCGCTTCAAGCTTCATCTCCTCGATGCCCAATCATCTTCCAGCACCCACCTTTAAAAGCTTCTCCAAATCATCTCTCGGCCTGCTCTTCAACAAGCGCAAGATCCGTCGCTATGTCGGACTTTGATTCAGACAACCCACCTCCACCCCCTTCTCCACCATCGTAGTAAGCTCATCCGACTCCTCCTCGATGCTCCTTCAACCTCACCTCCAGTGTGTAGTCCTCCAGACTTTCATGGAGTTCCCTGCCACTTTAAACGGTCCGGCAGAAGACCGCCATGTTGAGCCTGGTTCTGCCAGAGATTTCTTCCCAAAGGGGAGTTTTTTCTCTCCACAGTCGCTTTATGCTTGCTCTTCATGGACAGTTCATGGACAGTTTATGCAACTCTGTTCATTCAGTGACATCTAACTCAAGCATCACCCTGTATACCAGCCTCTATGGATTAACCAAACTTCATCTATCTAAACTCCACCACCAGTTTCAGGCCCGGGGGAAATATTCATACTCTCATACATCAGTTTATCTGTATTAAAGTATAAATCAGTGTTTATGTTCCCTGCCGAGGCCTGGGCGCCAAAGTTCAAACTATTGTATCAATAAAACTCTTCTAATTGCATCTTTCTCTCTCTGTGAGTTTTTCAGATTGAATTAAATGTTGGTTAAAGTTATTTGTTGTTCTGGTATTTAGAAAACATAACTAATCTTAGTAATCAAAATAACCCAAAAAGGGAAATGTTTTGTCTGATTTAATGTCAGAAGAGAAAAGGACATGCATTTTTTATGCAGTTTGTGTAAAGACTTTGGTTTCAACTATTTGTAACACTGTATGCTTCAAAACTGCAAAGCAAATCAGAAACAAACAAAACCGACAATGTGTGTAACTTGAGCACAAGTGCAAAGTTTCAGTTTGTGAAACAATCTAAACCCATACATGTATGGAACTTGAGCACAATTGCAAAGATTCAGTTTATCAGCTTGTCTTAAACACACAGCAGCCATATTGGATTTCATAATGTTGGAAAACCTTAATTTTTCCGCCTTGAACTTTAAAGTTTAGATCAACAGCCTGAAAAAAAATTGTTTCCTGCTTTTTGGGGGGAAAAAACTGCAGTGATATCTTGTGCAGAAAGGCTTTGCTTCCTTATTAGCAGCTCACATAAATCAGTTGTCAGAAGTCTGAGAGCAAAGCCGGTTAAGCAACAAAGAGAAAAGTAAAGAGCTAATGACCTGGGCTGACTTCCTGGGCTTTGTAGAGGATTTTAATGGGCAGAGAACAGCAATTAGATGCTCTGAGGTCACTGGCATATTAACCATGGACACTAACATCTATTGTTACCTTGAGAGTCTGGCATAGTGACAAACTCTCTCCCAGCTTGTTGCTTCGCTGTGATTTGACATGGCTAAACTGGTACGGCTTCCTGTAACAAAGTTTGCTCCTAGAATAGGAATTAACCTTCCTTTTCTACTTTGACAAATTCATGGTGAAGTCAAATAAACATCTGCAATTGGTAACTAAATGAGAAAAAGATTAATTTAGCAGTTAAACGTCTCTCAAACTCATTGCTTTCTTTTGTCTCTTCAGAAACTAAACATGGATTCGTCTACAGCTGCAGAGCCATCGTTGCCGTCAAATCAGTCATCAGAGAGCTGTGCAGCAGCACAGACCGCCACCGAGAACCAGCTCTTTGGATGGTTCTACATGGTGGTCTTTGTCCTGGCCCTCGGTGGAAATAGTTTGGCTCTCTGGATCTTCTCCCGTCAGCGTGGGGTTTCCTCACCCGCCAATGTCTTCCTGGTTCATCTGGCTGTGGCAGACCTATCCTACGTGATCATCCTCCCACTCAGAGCAATCTACCACTTCACTGGAGGTCACTGGCCTCTGGGTGAGGTCCCCTGCAGGGTGACGGGCTTTTTGTTTTATGTCAACATGTACGCCAGTCTGTATTTCCTGGCTTGTGTGGCGGGAGACCGTTACCTGGCTGTGGTTCACGCTGTGAGGTCAATGAAGCTTCGCCAAGGTCGATATGCTCACATCGTCAGCTTCTCTCTATGGGTCTTGGTTACTGTCTCCATGGTGCCACTGCTGGTCACCCATCAGACAGCACAGGTGGACAACACAACAGTGTGTTTGCAGCTGTATCGAGAGAAGGCCTCCCGCAAAGCTCTGGTCTCTCTGGCTGTGGCTTTCACCCCGCCGTTCCTGGCCACCCTGTCCTGCTACCTGCTCATCATCCACAGCCTGCATCGGGGCTCCAGGCTGGAACCTGCCCTGAAGCTGCGGGCCCTGCGTACCATCGGCGCAGTCATGCTCATCTATGTGGTCTGCTTCCTGCCGTATCATCTGAGCAGAGCCACCTTCATCCTTGGTTACAGCCACCCAGACGTATCCTGCCAAACACGCAGAGCCCTGAGCATGGCTAATCGCCTCACCTCCTCTCTCACCTGCCTGAACGGCGCTATGGACCCTCTGGTGTATCTGTTTGGGGCAGAGAAGTTCCGCAGCACACTGAAACGTTTGTTTTGTAAAGACAAGGCGGGGATGACTGGGGCCACCAGCGGAGACTTAAAGGGAACACATGAGAGCTCTCTGAGTGCTAAGTCTGAGTTCTGAATTAGACGCAAAAGACACATAAAACTGCTTTGTTCTGACCCCTTGTCTGGACGTTAAGGACCTTAGCCTGAATTAAGAATGATAAAAGCATAAATTAAAGTCCAACATCCAGTTTTCACTCTGGATCTAATGAACCCTTTAAAAAATCTCTTTATTTTATAATTAAAGTTTGATAGAAAAAACTTGTTTAAAAGGGAAAAAAAGGACATAACGCTTTTTAATTTCACTGTCTGTTTCAGTCCAATTTGGTCCTCATCTCAATTAATTTCTTTAAATTAAGACAATGGCGGCAAAAGACGTCCATGTAGTTCTGCTTGAGCCCCCAGAGGAGCGGCAACAGGTCTGTGAAAGTCAGCTTCCGTACGGGGGAGCTGGGTTTGTGGCTCTAAGATTTGATGTAGGGATGAAAGATAGTCAATGAGATGTTCCAGCTGTGGGACTCAAGGCCAAAAGCAAAATAGCACACAGAGATGTGCAATATTTTGTGCTTGTAAGACAACATTTTTGACACAATGCCAATGTGCTGTACAACAGATATTCTATGAAGGAGGCTGAGGTCTCCAGTGTTTAGGCCCTATACTGTATTTTCCTAAAAGGAGCCATCACCCAAACTTCTAATCCAATTCAGTTTATTTATGTAGTGCCAATTAAAGACACATGTCATCTGTAGGTCCTTTACAGAGACAGTTTGATAAGAATAAACAGGTTTTCTATCTAAATGATACCAGCCAACTGCATCCAGTAATTTAATTTGCAGGATTCACTTCATCTGCATAAGCATTTGATTATTGTAGATGTTTGCTTGCAGTGGGTTGGTGACTGCAGTCCGTCACACTGAGCATGCATGCTCAAAAGCAGAGAGAAAAACTTAATTTCAACAGCAAGAAACCTCCAGCAGAACCAGGCTCAGAATGAGCGGCCATTTGCAGAGGAGGATCTTTTTTTTTAAGCCAAGTCATATAAGCAGACAGTGTTTCTGACTAATGGATTAAAACTGCCTCCCATTCTACTTTTAGAAATCCTATGAACGTGAAGTGGTTTGTTAGAAACATAAAGAACAATCAGATCTCTAATACAAGATGGAGGTTGGTCATTTATAACTGAGAAGGAGACTTTTTAATTTTATTCTGGTTTTAACAGGTACCATTAAAGAAAAGATAAAATAAGAACATATGATTATTCTCATCAGTAGTCTGACTGCAGTAATTTGCTGAAGGGTTTTAACTACAATTTTTGGACCTACTGATCCTAAAGAATTACAACAGTCCAGCCTTGAAGTTATCAGTGAATGGACTAGTTTCTCAGCATCACCCCTGGATAATATTTCCTATGAGAATATTCCAGAGATGAAATAAGGACATTCTACAAACCTGTTTAATATGCTGGTAAAATGACAAATCCTGATCAAAAATAACACCAAGGTTTTTTTTTACATTATTATCTAAGGCCATTTAATGCCATCAAGATGAGGTGACAGAGCAATAAGCTTATTTTTTCAAAGATTCTGGTCCAAAGACAATAAATTCAGTCTTTTCCTACATTCAAAATAGAAAATCTAATCTCAGAAAATCTAAATTAATCCACGTTTTCATCTCTTCAACACATGCCTATTTCCTGCCTAATGGTTCAGTTTCATGTGGATTTATGGACAAATATAGCTGAATATCATCAGCATAATAGTGGAAGTGAATCCCCTGCTGTTTGATTATTCTACCAATAGAAAGCATTTATATAGAACTGACCATTGGCTCTAGCACTGATCCCTGTGGTACTCCGCAAGTAATCCTAAAGCTTGAATAAAAGTCTAACATTAACATGAACAAACTGGAATCTACATATCGCAGTAGGATAGAATTATTATATATCAAATCAAGATGGAAATAAACCAGGCCTTTTTTCTGTTAAAATGGGATGTTGTTAATGTAATGTTCTAATGTTACACCACAATGCTAACACCGCTAATATCTCTATTTCACAGAAAGAGGCTATTTCTAAGGTCTCCCCTGCAGGCAGTCATTAAGTGTTGCTGCTGGTAAACTTTTTTACTTACAGTGTAGGAGGACAAAAAAACGACAGTAATCGAACCATGGCTAATTGCTAATGTGCTAACGTTATATCCACATTAGGCTCATTTTACACACAAGTTAAAAAGCAGTATAACAAGTGTTACGACTTTTCTTCTAGTAATTTTATTACTTTATTCTCGTAATTTGACAATTTTATTCTATTTTATGCAGGCCAGTTAGTTATATGTCAGCTTGAACAACCTAATTTCGCCCAATCATATATCAACGGTCATCTGTCAATCAAATGTTTTCAGTCATAGCATCTTGATTCATATGTCGCAGCTAATATATGCAGCGGCTGAAATAAGAATAATTTCCTTTCCCATTAAGTTCCGTCCCAGTGTTCATGGGGATGGACGTCTGTGTCTTCAGCAGGCGTAGAGCTAACAGAACTGGCAGCGTTGCGAGGCAAGGGCTCAAACATGTACGGCTGTTAACCTTCTACACCAAACCAATCAAAACCAATAAAACTTTTTAAACAAAACCCCCTTTTTAACAGCCAGTTTCTTTCTAATTAATGTGTTTATTGTGATGATTACCTACGATCGAAACACCTGAAAAGAGAACCAAACTTTCTCATGAGCTTTAGACGAAACGGGACACAACAAGATGACCTTTGACCTGGAGGGCGCTCTGATGTGGGAGCATCCCAGAGCTGCTCTGGTTTTAGTGTGTTTTGTCCTATAAGCCAAATGAAAACAAACACCTTTCATTATTAGCAGTACAGTTTAATGTGTATTTAGCTTTCTGAGCATCGTAGATTAAAGAGTATGAAATACCAGCTTAGCTCAGACAACAAAAAACTGAAATAAACAATATGATTCTATGCTTATTTTCCCTAATATGTATGCAAACAGTGTGTTTGTCAACCTTTCCCTGCATTATTTTAAGTTCTCTTTAGAGGGCCCCAGGTGCTTAGGCCCCTAACCAGCACGGCAAAAAATTTAAATTTGAAAATGAAATTGAGGAGGTAAGTGGGACACTTTGCCAATGCAACAAGACAATTTACATTTAAAATTATTTCAGGTGCATATTATCTAATTATCTTATTTTAGGAATGCAAAACATCTTATTTACCTGCTCAATTTAAGGATAAAAACACAAAATTTAAGAATTTTTTAAAAACGTATTAATATCTTGTTTTTCCTCTTAAGGGATCTCTGACACCAGCTGTTTGTAATGCAATTAAAATAGCTCAAATTGAAGTTTTCTGCTCACAATAAAGCATTGGCCTCAAACTTAAACCCTCGAGGGCGGATGTCCTACAACATTTAGATGTGCCTCTTGCCAAGCACATCTGAAGTTATTGGCTAAACTGTCTCATTAGCCAAGCTCTACCTCTGTGCTAAAATTAGAGCCAAGAGTGGTCGAGTAGACAGTCTGAGACCACTGCTCAAAGTATCCACGTGCAAAGAGTGGGGATGTGTTGCAACTGCTGGCAGACATCTGCAGAAAAAACACTGGTTGTAAATATCTTCACTTTTTCAGTGTTTTAAAACTGTCATGCTGTGTATTTCTGTTACAATGTTGCCCAATGCCACAAAATATCCGGCTCTAACTTTGTCTACATGTGATTTGTAAACCATAATTAGGTGTGAGACAAACCTCACAAACTGTTGTCTGTCGTCTTAACCTGCATGTATTTTTTATACTCAGCAAATGAATTTGCTTCCTTCTCATTTCCATAAAAAACCCCAAATGAAAATGTCTGACTCCTAGTTTTTTTTTTTTTTTTTGATCCTAGTTTTTTTTTTTTTTTGTTCATCTGATTGTTGCCGTTACTCAGAGCACAGCTCTTAAGTACTGTGAAAGTGTCTGTTCAGGGCCAGAAAGTTCTGAAGGGGTGCCGTGACTTTTCGCTGCGTAGTTCTGTTTTCATGTCATGTGATCTATGTTGTGGTTTGCAAGCAGCTCTTTTTCCTCCTCTAATTTCTGCACGACTTCCTGTCCATCATTTGAACGAAGCAAGCTGCTCTGAACATGCATTTCCTGAATCTATGCACTCTACAGAACCTCTCTTGATTGATATCAATAGAAGTAAGACTAAAAGAGACCAAAATGGATTGATGAGGATTTTTCAACAAGTAATAAAGTAATACCAAAGAAGGCTCTAAGTTTCTCCCTCCTACTTCCCATTTTCTCTTCTTTACCTCAGTTTTCTCACCAAAAGATACTTCCTGAATATTTCTTATTAATAAGTGAGTGTAAAAGGCGTCCCAGTAAAGGGTGTTAGTTAATCATTAGGGCATGACGAACGTATAAAGCACATATTTCAGTTTTACAGCCCTGAGGATCTGCTGTACAACACGCAGAGCGCAGGAACCAAGGCCCTCCTCTGTAACTTCTCAAATGAGGAAGTTCAGAGCCGATCTAGGAGCAGCTTCCTTTTAGAGCTTGAACAGGCACAGGATGATGAAGAGGTAGAACGGGGCCATGCAAAGATGAGAACGGCCGGGCAGAAAAGCTGAGATCCATAACGGTTGGAGGGATTTTTGTCTTAAATCGTTGACGACGGATGCAAAACACTTGAGCTCACGGCTCTTGGGGTTTAATACAGGATGCCAAGTCAACAGCCTTGGTACCATGACAATATAACTCGATCCAAAGCTGAGGATCTCCTCTCCAAAGCAGCAAGAGATGGAAGCTTTCTTATCCGGGACAGTGAGTCCGTACAGGGAGCTTACGCCCTCTGCGTTTTGTAAGTTGACTTCTCTTTATTATTGTGCATAAATAAATGAACTCGAAGTTGATTTTTAAACACATCCTCCTGGTAAAGCACGCTTATATGAGCCGTTGATCCTGTCAGTAAAAAAACATCATCAGGTTGTTCTACCAGTTGTCTTGTAATTGCATCGTTAAACCTTTAAGATTATATGTTAAAATTCCCCTGCTGTTACGCGTCACATCTTTTTGCACGCTTGCACACACCACAGAAAAAAAACTAGTTCCCGTTTATTTGCATTCTCTTCTATCATGCAACACCACCCTTTGTCCTCTTCACCACCCTTTTTTTTATTCAAAGTTGTTTCAGGTTTTTAAATGCGACCAGCCTACTATGAATGCATCCCAATCACTAATACCATAATGTCCTGTCAGTTTAATGGATGATATTTGCATTTTGTTGCTCACTGCAGATACCAGAACTGTGTGTACACATACAGGATCCTGCCAAATGAGGACAAGAAGCTCTCTGTTCAGGTGGGTAGGCCGTTTGAAACCAGCCAAATGTATTTTTGACTAAAGGTCACCGGGATTATTTTGGGTCTGTTGGCAGCAGATGTTTGTACAGATTTATCCAGATGCGATGATGAATGTGGCGACCTCATTGAGGTCAAAATCTGCTGCTGATCAGAAATCTTAGCCAGGGGTAATTTATTTATTTGTATGTATGATTCCTCTTGGATTTGAAACCAAAACTGCGAACATTTCCTCTTTTTATTTAAGAATCTTCAGGCAACAAAGTCCCAAACATATTCACGTTGTTCAGAATACAGCTGTAACAAACAAATAAATTCCTATACCCAAGCCTCTGCACAAACACGTGGAAAGGTGCTTCATCTCCAGACTGTGAAGCAATACTTTCAAACTGAGCTGTCTCCTCAAATAGTCCTGTTGCTCTTTGAACTTTCTGTGGCTGAAGAAGATATTTGCTGTAAAATGGGCAAAATTATTTGATTTTTTTGGTTTGCATTGATCAGCTCCAAAGATAAACCTCCAGCCATCGTTGCTTTGCATAAAATGGTCTCACATGCAGGAAAATACAAGAGAACCTTGTGTAAATGTAGGCTCTCAATGTTGATCCCTGCGCAGAGGTTGCTTAACATTAGCAGATGTTTGGGAGTGTATCCAGTCGCTAATGGAGACGATGGCCTTGAAGC